GTTTTGCCATTTTCATACATTCCACCTAATTTTATGTGTGTGTCTGTGTGTCACCTAAAAATCCATATGTACATGTGTGTTCCTCAAATCTTCAATATGACATTAAAAATGTCGCCATTCTTTTTTAAATGAATTAAATATACCTTTTCATATGTAAATTTATGGCATAGATATATTATAATATAAATATCAAATTTTGGGTGTGATATGTATGTAAATTTTCATGCAATATTTGCATCATAATGCATTATTTACCATTTAATGACTACAATAAATTGATATTAAAATGCAAGATATAATTTTAGATATTTTAACAACTTTGCAGTCAAACTATTAAATTTTAAAATATTTCAAACAGAGTTTACATTAATATTTTTAAACAAATCGGCTCATGAGCTAGCATGTTAACTCGGGGCTAGTTCAAATTTAATTTGTTAGCCATCTAGCTGAGCTCACTAATTATTGATTGAATATCACCGAAACTGGCTTGCAAATCAGCTTAACTCAAACTTTTACACAGATACCTTTAATTCATTGATAAATAGACAGACTTTGTCAATAGTGGGATTTTGTATGTATTTGGTTATAGGTATAACTTGGGCCTCAATAAAGTTTTAAAGTCAGGTAAATGAGAAAATATTAGATGCAGTGGACTGCACGTCCGGACTACCGCTCAAATGAGGTCACGCCACCATGTATTGCATGGCGGCCCATTCGAACCGTCATCCAGACGTGCGATCACAGCATGTAATAGTTACTCTCTGTAAATAGTTGAATTTCAGTTTAGCAATCTATCAAGTTGATACATGGATGCCACGAAACTAAGTAGATAAAGCAATTACATACATAACACCTTAAAGATTGCTATTTATACATTAAGCATCATCTTTCATTCTTTTTTTTTTTCATTTTGATCAAATATCAAAATTTATGATAAAATATCGACCCAAACTTCTCACTTTTATTAAATTCTCAATGGTTTGAACGTAGCAAAGTTTCGAATTATAGTTCAAAAAATCACCTTGTGCAATGTTTTAGATGTTATGCATGGTATCCCTTAAATTTATTATTAAAATCATAAGAATAAATTATACACTAATTAAAATTTAAAAATCTTTTCTTAAACAACTAATTAACCATAAGTCTTAAAATAGAAAATATTTATAATTCCTTTAGTTAAACTCGTAATTAAATTCCTAATCTCTCAATCAACGAAAAATTATTGCATACATACACCGCATGCAGAGACGCATGCGGTGTCCGATCCTCAATCAACAGGTCAAAATAGTCTGCATAGATATTTGGGAACTCCTAATCTTAAACGAATGATACTTCTCCTTCTAAGTATTGTACTATTATTTTTGCTACCTTTAATAAGTAATGAATTGTACATAATCTTTTTTTACATTTTATTTTAAATCTTGAAATGTGCAATTTGCACCTTTTTTTATTTTTCACATTTTCCTTTATGTTGTGTACAATTGTGAAGAAGCACCTAAAAATTTTATTTGAAATTAATATTTATATACTTATTTAGTTAAAAACAAATTGGGATATGATTCTTTTTGTTTTAATTTTAATTTTATTTTTGTGAACATAGAAAAATTGGGCTATAATCATATTTGATAAACTTTTCATTATAAGGGCAAAAAAAAATAAAATAAAAAATAAAACATATAAATTTGGTAATATGCTTTTAGATAAAGCTAATTATCTATTAATTATCACATTGAAATTAAACACCCAATATAAGATCATAAAAAAAATATGTAATTAGGCTATTTTCAATTGACCAATAATGCAACAATAAATGAATCAAGTAGTCATAAACCCTAATACTGTGCATGTAATATGTACATATTCGGTACTTGAATGTACTCTTTATTGTCTTCTAATGATACAACTCCCTTTATCTTATCAAATTCATAGTAACTAACCATCCAATTTATAGCATACATAAAATATCATCCACTAAGTAAACCACCAAGGTATTTAAAAGGCTTTAAAAAAAAATTTAACGTCCCAAAAAATAGACTCTTGTCAAATGTGAGTGATATTAGTTTTATATTATTTTGAGATGTAGGTTTTCCATAGAGCGAAGGCAACCTCATTAAAAAATGAGGTCAACAATTGGACATCACTCTTATAATTAAAATTTTGAATTTTAATCTTTTTGTTATTTTAGATTTCTTAGCAGCTGATATTGGAGCTGATGGTTTAGTTGAGATTGAGTGAATCATGCAATTTATGATTCCTATGACTCCTTGGGGCTATTCTACCATGGCTGAATAAAATTCATAACAAGATAACACCCATTTTATGATGCTTATTTGAGATGGAGCGATAGCTTGTATATCAGGCTCTGACAAGAGTGTAATTAAGCTTCTTACGACACATGAGGTTTTGTTTATAGGTCATGCATCTAATAATTAAATGTTTGATGAGAAAAACTTGAAAAACAACAAAAAAAGAGATGAAACTAACAAAATATGACTAGTAGGAAATTTGAGGATGTTGAAAATTGTAAAGATTAAGATAAAATGGAGGGACTGGCAATTCGACAATGTCCGCAAGTTTAAGTTTTCATTAAAGAGAAAAAGGGAGCAACCATAATTTATTTATGCATTACTTTTGCATTACAATGCACTTTAAGAAGGGATTTTTACAGTCTTACAAGACGAGTAAAATACTTTTCTTTTATGTTAAATTACAACATTTTATCTAACCATAACATCCCCTTCACACCAACTTTATCCTTGCGGTTGAGCAAACACACACACACAAAATAAGAAAGAAAACAAGAAAAAAGGGTGAATTTTTTAATTTAATTCATTTTTAGAGGGTTGGGAGATCATCTGCTTAGAACTTCTTATGGCCCATTAGGCTTGAATGCGATTTAGGTGGAGGTATGTTGATATGGTAAAAGGCCGGTGAATCCAAACAAAGACAGCCATATCAATATCTATGATTTTGAAATCAACTTGGATGTGATTTGATTTGGGAATAGAGACATAGATGTAATGAGACCTAACAAAAATGAGTAGAAATTTGATATTTGCGAACTCAAGCAAGCTAAACATGTCATATTTAGGAAGATTTACTTAAATGGTGGCTTGATTTGGTCAGAGATTGGAATGTTGATGTCTATAACGCCAACATCATGGACAATGTGATGGATATAGTGCTTTTAACGGTCAAGGTTTTGATATAGGTAGATCAAGGAGTCGTGAGATTAACGATGAACCCTAATTAGTTAAATAAAAGCACTATTTGATTAGAATGAACTAAAAAAACACAAAGATAGATAAACAATAAAAATGTGTTAATTTGACAATTTGAGGATGTTTAAAACTCTAGAGATTGAGAGATAAGAGACATAGTACAAAATCTTAACTAATACTTGAAACCATCTCCAAAATATATGAATACAAAATGTGTTTGAAAAAATAAAAATACTCTTACTTACCTTTGGTATTATTAGCTTTTAGGGCAAGAAGTAAAACCTTAGATATTGAAACTTAATCATTAATTATAATTGCTCCTTCAATCACTTCCAACGAGCCCGAGATTGCTCAATTCTGACATCGTTAAGACACTCAAATGTCCATCAAATGTCATCCGATCGAGGGAAGCTCTCCGGACTGTCTAATCAAAATAGTTCATATTCCTGCATTAATTGCACCTAGAATATTATATATAGAGATCTCTCAAAAAAAATGTTGGAGGCTTGAAAGTGCTGGAGAGAGAAATTGAGGCTTTGAGAATGAGCTTAAGTCCAACAGCATCCATGCCATCGCAGACAGCCGTCGACCACCGCAGACAGCCGTCGACCACCGCTGACCACCGCCAATCACCGCCAACCAGCTCCGGTGGTCAACCACCACCGTTGACCTCCGTCGATTATCGTCGGCCGCTGTCGACCATCGCTGATCGTCGCTGACCTCTGCCGATCACCGTCGACCGCCATCAATTGTTGTCAACCACCGCTAACCAGGCGTCGTTAGTCAACGTTGTACCTTGGAAAATCTAGTAACCCTTTCCCTTCTGTGGGACAAGGGGGCTCTGTAATCATCAACTTATGGTGGATTTTTATAACTGTGTCAGGCCTAATGGTTTTTTTCCTTTACGGGTTTTTCACGAAAAAACTTCTGGTGTCATCACAGATTGATTCCCTTTCGTCTGAGTGTGTATTAAATCCTCGTGCAACGCTAAAACGATAATCCATTACGCTACCGCCGTGAATTTTTTAGCACGCATCAGTTTGGCGCCGTCTGTGGAAAAGTTTCAATCCCACAACTAAAATACTTACATGGTTTACTACATGGTCACCAGACACAATGTTCGTGACAACGGAGCATCCCGCTCCAACATTCATCATTCCAGGGAGCAGTCACGAAGCCAAGGGCGACATGCTTCTTCATCTTCTCACACTGGAAGACGCTATCCTGCCAACGAAGGTGTTTCGGGTCCTTCAATAGAAGATCGAAGAACGGGTCCTTCAATAGAAGATCGAATGCGTAGAATGAAGGAGTCTCAACCAAAGATCCTACAGCTCCTACGCGCGGCTCAATAGTCGTTTCCTACACCATTGGATGAAATTTGTTTATCATTAATTCCGCAACGTACAAGAAACATACTGCTCGGAGGAACTCGTACCGTCCCCCCTCCTCAAGAAGAACACTTCCCCTGTCAGGTCGTGATGCTAAACTCCTAGATACCGCAAGTTCCACTCATCCATCTTGTGCAGCTCACCCGACATCGCCATATCTTTCTGCCATTCCAGATGATGCATTTGTAATGAACTATGACGCCTCGTCCGAGAAGAGTTCCCCTGAGAGAAAAGCAATGACTTCTACACTCACCGTAACATCCATGAATCCTCTCTCTTAGCGAATGCGATCCTCCATCACCCCATCCCAATAGGTTTCAAGCTTCCGAACATCAACACGTATGAAGGGATAACAAACCCCTACAAACATTTTGATCATTATCGAACTATCATGCACATTCAGCGTGCCTTTGATGCACTTATGTGTCAGGTTTTCCCGGTTACTCTTAAAGGACAAGCTCGAACCTGGTTCTACTCTTTGTCAGGGGGCACTGTAAACAACTTTCATGAGCTTGCCAGATTGTTTGTGGAATAGTTCGGGGAAAACCGACGGATCATAAAGGATTCATCCTATCTCTCAGGAATTCATCAAAGCGAAGGAGAATCACTGAATGATTACTTCCACGGGTTCTCTACTGAAGCCCGACATATTTCGGGAGTAGATCCGGTGTTACTAAGAGGAGTCTTCCTTGGAGGGCTCCGCCCAGGACCCTTCTGCTCATCATTGATGCGGGAGACAGTTCGTTCTTATGCTGACCTTGTTTACCATGTTGATGCACAAATCTCTGCATATGAGACCATCATTGCTCACAAGGAACAATTTGAGCAATTTGGGGGCAAGTGCAAGAATAACGTTGGGGATACCAATCAAATCTCACAGCGAAAATAATTCAGATCACAGGAGAATCATGAACAATGATCAGAAAAATAATACAAGCCACTCAACACGTCATGTGTTAACATCTTAAGGGCAATCAAGGATGAAAAGACTTTCAAGTGGCGAAAGCCGTTTAAAAATTCAGATGGTAGAGATCGGTCTCAATATTGTCATTTCCACCGAGCAAAAGGACATTCAAAGAAAGATGTTTTCAATTAAAGGAAGAAATTGAATGTCTAATACACTAATGTCACCTAGGTAGCTACTTACAAGAACAATGTGAGGGGAACCATAAGAGAATCATTGGAGTTATCGAATCGAATGATAAAAAGCTCCCTTGAGGATGAAAAGCTACCATGCCCCTAAAAGTCAAACTCAAGAGGCAAGTCTCGACAGGAAGATACGACACTCCTAAAAATCAGGCCCAAGCGGCAAAACTCAATAAGAAGCTACCATGCCCATGGAAGACGAGCCTATGAGGCAAGTCCCGATAGGAAGCTAGTAGTGGACATGGTCCTCACTAGAAAGACTTCATAAGAGCAAGTAGTTGACATGTTCTTCAAATCAAAGAAGGTATGTATACAATCAAAAATCTCAAAAGGCTGTAAGCCCAAAAAGGTTCATGCACACTCAAAATTTCTTAGAGGGGCTATAAGTCTCAGAAGGTATTACTTATTCAAAAAGTTGAATATTCACCTAAAAATCAGATAACCTTAAAGGTGTTACTGATTTAAAAAATTGAATTTTCACATAAGAATATAAAAAATAATAAGCTTCAGAAAAGATTGATGTCACTATGTTCCAAATATGGGGTGTATTTTAATTTAAGTATATTGGATTCCTGTCAAGTCTTATAATAGTTTTGTCTTCTCTAATGAGTAAGTTCTAAGAAATAAATATTCTTATATTAAGCAACAACAACCTACTTTGAAGAAGGAAACAACAATTTACATCGGGGAATGTAATGAAAACTTACATTAAGAAAGGCAATAACAACCTACCTCAGGAAAGGCAACAACAACCTACCTCAGGAAAGGCAACAATAACGTACTTCAGGAAAAAAAAGCCTACTTCAGAAAAAGGAAAAAAAAAGCCCAAAACCTTGGGCAATAACAGCGTAAGAGATAGGGCAATAACAGCGTAAGAGATAGGGCAACACCAACCCATAAGATTAGGTAAAACAAACCTAGGAGGTGGGTCAAAACTTGGAGATTAGGCAAAACCAGTTCAAGAGTTGTGGCAACACCTACCAAGATGGTGAAGCAAAAATCACCTAAAAACTCTAGCATCGTTGGACAACAACTACCTAGAAGTTGAAACAACAATGACCAAAAAGGAACTCTAATGTCATTGGGCAAAAACAATCAAAAAGGTTAGCAAACAACAACTTAAAAGGAACTCCAATGCATTGGGCAACAACAACCCAAAAGGTGAGGCAATAGTAGCCTAAAAGAAACTCCAATATCATTGGACAACAGTAGCCTAGAAGGGGAGGCAACAATAGCCTAAAAAAAACTCCAACGTCATTGGCTAATAGCAACCTAGAAGGTGAAGCAATTGCAGCATGAAAGGGCTCCTACAGCTAAAAGAGAGGTCAGCTTTCTCCCCTTTCGAATGGACCTATTTATAGGCCTTCATTTAGAATTTTTTGGTGTCAAAACAATATATTATAAATATTTTTGTGTCGAAACCATCTATGGGGATGCATGTGAATGCACATGTGAGAAAATGTGCAATAAATCTTGCGCACAAATGCAAACGCGCAATCACGTGTACAAGTGTGAGTCTAGTGCACAACATGAAGTAGTTCTCGGCCTGATCTAGCCGCTTCGATCCACACTAAACTACATAATCCAACAATCTAACCCGACTTGACTCGGTCGCCAGCCCACACAACTACCCACCACCCATGATTCAACACGACTAGACCGGATCCCCAGCTCGCACAATTGTCTGGCCACCCATCACAGGCCTAACTCGTCTATGCCAGCATTGTGCTGACCCGATCGATGCCCAAGCACTGCTTGTCATAGGCGATGAAACTATCTGGCATCAGTAGCCATTAGTAATGCTCAAATATCTAACAAAACAAACAAAGACAATAAGAATAAATGAGTAAATAAATACAACAAGTGAATGTTTCAATTTCTATTGTTTTACTTTCGAGTCGAAATTTTTAATTGTTAAAGCTTGATCTCTAACTAAATTACACCCACGGAATTGAGCTTAAGACCCAGGGCAATGCACAATAATGTACAATCATCTGAATTGTTGATTAGCCCATTCTCATAAAATGATTTCACTATTTATAGAGGAGAAGATAAAATATGTGAAATTATATTTTTGCCCTTGCTTTAATGGGGGGGGGGGGGGGGGGGGGTTTTTTAAGGAAAGGTCTTCTTTAGGCCTTGTGAAGGGGGGGGGCAATATAGGATATTTTATCTATTTTATATGTATAGGCCTTCAGCTCGGCAACTCTCAAACTCCGTCTCTTGAAATCAACCTGTCTTGGTTTGATAAAACCTTCTTGGCCAACTAAGATGAATCAAGGTTGCTGATGGACTTTTGGTGGCCTTCGGGTCAGCCCGACTTGAATCGGTCAACTTGGCTTTTGCCAGTTGGCTATTCTTGTATGATTGTCTGCAATTTATCCCTGAATGAGAAATGTATCTCGGTAGAGTAATGTTAGACTACCAGGCAAAAAGTCAATCACTGTAATTTGATAAGTTGCTCACTCATTAACGAGGGGGTCATCCAAGATGCTTCGTGGATTAGGTTATTACTGGTTCTTGGCCCCTGATGATAAATCTCAGGGGTGTTTATGAGGTGGCTGGTAATACTAAATTCTTCCCTTGAGTCGGGTTGTAGTGATAAGCAAGTCGATACCTCTTCTTGACTCGATTGACCTTATTCCATGGTTAGGGTGGCATCCACCCAGTCGGCTTCTAGCCCTAGCTCAGAAGGACTTCACCTAATCAAGTGAGTCATTTGGTCTCTATCAGTGGGCCCTCCTTAATTGTACTTCTATGTTTTCTTGTCCATTGGCTCTCCTCTTGATATTATATGCTCAATTAAAAAAAAAAAGAAATTTTTACAGTCATACCATGCAATTCTTAGGCATATATATACTTAACATTTAAAACTTCAATTTTCACCTACATGCTACCTTTGAAAAAAAGTTGACATGCATGCAAAAATTTAAGTTTTAAGTGTTAAATATGAATTTGCATAAGAACCTTGGTATGTATGTAACAATAGCATTTTTTATATAAAAAGGATTTATTTAAATAATACTAAGATTATCTCATTCAAATATTTTAAAATGTCAGTGTACTCATTCAAAATATAGTAACAAAATAACCGGTCAAACCGACACAAGTGGCCAAGCACTATCTTTAATTAAATATAACGTTCGTCTACTTTTAAAAAAGTCAACCCTAACAAAAAATACTACTACTACTTTTTCAAATTTGCGACAATAAAATCGAAGAAAAACAAATTCCCCGAGTAACACCAATCCGCCGCCGCCGGTTGTCACCCCTCACCTCGGACCGAAAGTCGCCGAAATATCCACCGGAACCCTAATTTTCTCGCTCCACGCCTTCGACTCCAGAAATAGCTGCGAGATCTTCCCCTCAACCCAACTCATCCCCGGCCTCTTCGCCGCATCACCCTCCACACATCGCAGCGCCACCATCGTCATCTTCTCCGCCACATCCAATGGAAAAGAATCCCTTAATCTCCGATCCACCCAGTGCCGAACCCTCTCCATCCTCTTTTCCACAAACCCCGCCGGCGATCCCTCCTCTTCCCATCCCGCCGCTCCAACAACCTCTCTCGCCGTTTCGATTAGCGAACTCCTCTCATATCTCTTTTCTCCACCCGCGCATAATCTATACGTGAGTGGCTCATCGCCGGAGATCAGCTCCAGAAGCACGACCCCAAGCGCGAACACATCCGACTTCCGCGTGACGCATCCCCCTGCAATCACTTCGGGCGCCAAATACCCCCTGGTCCCCTCAATCTTGATCGACCGGCTGTTCGATTTCATCAACTTATTGATTTCGATTTCGCCGGCGAGGAGAGCGGCGCCGAAATGGCAGAGCTTGGCGTTGAAGCCGGTCTCGGAGACGATGATTGAGGAGCTCTTGATGCGATTATGAACGGACCCGCCGCCACCGGAGTGGTGGTGGATGTAATCAAGGCCCTGCGCGAGATCCGTGGCGATCTGCATTCGAGAGATCCAGGAGGAGAGAGCGGTGAATTTGGGGTTTTGAGGATTACGGAGGGAGGCGGAGAGGGGAGCACCAGGGGCGAAGTCGTACACAAGGTGTATGTTGTCGGAAGAAACAGAGGCGCCGAGGAGGCGAACTAGGCTACGGTGGTGGCTCTTGAAGGCGTCGGAGAGGAGGGAGGGGAGGGTTTCGGGGTCGCCGCGGAAGCGGCGACGGTGGATGAAGACATCGCGGCCGCGTAGAAGGCAGCGGAAGGAGGAGGAGGAGAGGCGCTTGGCAGAGGGATTGATCTCGGCGGCGGATATCTCGGCGGTGGAGTAAAGGGAGGGGGTGTCGGGTAGGGATGAGCGGAGGCTGGCGAGGGAGGAGAGGCTCTGCGAGGAAGAGGAATTGGTGTGTTGGCCTCCGGTGAAGGAGGTGTCGGTGGCGCTGAAGATGTTTGGGGAAGGGGCGGTGGAGGAGGAGGATGGGGTGGGGTTGGTGGAGGAGAGGGAACGGGTCTGGGAAGCGAGGGCATCTCGGCGGCCTCTGCACATTAGCGCGCCCATTGGGTGGGAAGTAAGGGGCAGCGGGGCGGATGAAGGTATTAGAAGTCTGGTCGGCTAAGCTTTGACTTCGACGGTGCTTCGAAACGCCTGGACATCCACTCGTGTGACCTTGACTTTTCATTGAAAGCCGAAAGAACTTCCGACTGCCTAGTTAATTTTGATAATTTGATTGCAGGCGGAAAATCTTCCGTCTGGCTTGGTTTGAATTTATTAGAATTATTTTCATATATATATATATATATTTTATAACTTTTTTTAAACTGCCAAATCGCTTTTAATATCAAAGCAAGTATACGTATCGCTCAAGTAATAAAGGGCTGTAATGGAGCTGTGGATATTGATCCCATAGTGAAGTTAGAAAATCCTTAAGTAAATTATGAAAATTATTTTAGATCAAAAACAAAAAAATAAAAGTAGAGTGTGAAGTTTAAAAATTGACTACTCATGAGAATGCTAATTAAAATGCATATGTAAGACTATAGAAATTAGACTGAACTAAATTCTAAACTTTCAAAAATAAAATTGTGAAAATTAAATAAAGTTTTTGTTGCGACAAAAATTCAAATTTAAGAAAACATCCTTCCTCTTTACAATGAGTATATTGTTTGTGAAGAAATTGAAAACATTTGAATATATATATATATATATATACTGTTTTTATATATACGCAAAAAATAGCCGGTAAGAATCTCGAAATAATTTGATTGTATAGATTAAAAGTTGTAAATCAATCAACATCCCTCTAGCAAAAGGTTAGAGAGCTCATAAAGCTGAACGACCGAAGAATCAGCAACTGAGCAGCAACTGACTGACCGGATGTTGGCGACCGACTAACAACTGAACATAGGTTAAGAACCCCAAGAAAACTCACAAGTAACGTGAGACTCTCTCAAAAACTCTCTCAAGGTTCCTTAGAAATAACTAAGGAACAAACAAGTTAACCGACCTCCTTTGTGCCGGTCAGCTAACTTTCTCAAAGCCGATCGGGCTTCTCAAAGCGATGGCCGCTCGACATCTAAGCAAAATAGTCGAGCAACTCATACTCAGATGACTGACTTGAATGCCTGCTGACCAGAAGGACCAGATGCATTAAAAGATGTCAAAATTTTAGTTTAAATACAAAAATGCATGATGAAATAAAATAATTTCCTACAACTGTCATTAAAGCAAGGGAAGATACGTAATTGTTCATCTCATGGCTTTGTATCTTCGCTAAATTGAGGTTCATAGTAGGGCTGTCAAAACGGCTCGTTGTTCGCGAACAACTCATGTTCAATTCATTAAGAAGCTCGTGTTCAGCTCGTTAAATTCGTTCGATAAATTAATGAGCCAAACACGAACTAAGATGTGTTTGTTCATGTTCAACTTATTTTGGCTCGAAATACTACTCATCAAGTTTATTTTAATTTAGATTCACGAACAAAGAATCCTTCTAACAACCCTAATGATGTAGCCATAAGACAATAAGGGTTTGAGCAAGATCTAAAATTATTGTTAGAAGAATTCTTTGTTCGTGAACAGCTCGTGTTCGACTCGTTAAGCAAACG